GTCACATCACTGCCCGGTATCTGGGCGTCCGTGTGATATATTATATAATTAGTATACAAAATAGGTAAACAACGGTCGACCGTCGACGGCAATACTGACCACCCTTTCTTTTTGTAAATGTTCAAACGTTATCATTCATCAGTGATCACATAATATTTTTACACGTCGTGTATAACAGCAACTGTCACGTTCAGCAGTCGGTATGATCCTTGTGCTCGAACGGTGTTCGCATGTGAAACCAGTGGCTGGAGTACGAGGCGAAATTCGTAGAAATATATTATACAGTAATAACAGTACACTTTGTTTTAGAAACAAATCTACTAAACTTTATTGTTAATAATAATTTATTTTAACCATTTAGTCGTTATGGCGATTTCAAAAAAATCTATAGGCGTGTTACTATAGTTATGTGGAACAAAAAATTATGGGCGGTGGACGACTCGCTACGCATCTACTCGTTTCACTTACCGATTTATATGCCTCTGAATAGTTCTTTTTCTTTTTCTTTTTTTTTTTAACTTCCCTCATTCTCTCAAATTAAATATTCACTGTCGGTTTTTAGATTAAAAATAATAATAATGTGATCCTATTTTCTATTCTAAATTATACCATGTCATATTATATTTGAATTTATGTACAGTAATACCTCTTTATAACGAAATCACTCGGTAACGATTGATTTTTCCGTTATAAAGGAGTTTCCGTTCTAGGGAAACTGATATATAGGGGATATAGGTTATGCAGAACTGTTGTTGTTTTTCATTTTAAGGAGATTTTCCCCTTATAGGGGGCCGGTATAAGGAGGTTTCACTTTATTATTCTAGAGTAAAATTTTCCCCGGCTTATATTATGCATAATATACGTAAATATTCTTAATAATTCAATAAATAGGTAGTCGAATACATAATGATAATACAATTTATTACACAACACTACAACTATACCTATACTACTTTCAAAACAAAATGGTAAATTTGAGTAGAAAATGGAAAAAAGACGGGGTTTAAAGTTTAAATTCTCAAATTCACAATTTTTTACGGGTCTTAAAATATTTGTTTTTTACTAGAAATCTTGTCCGAAACAAAACAACCACAAAAGCGCTTTTATGTAGCACTTTTGATCTAGGTAGTGCATTGGGAGGAAGCAATTTTTTTAATTTTCCGAGTAGTCTTTACAATAGTTTTTAATAACTAGAAATACGTATTGGAACACAGACAAGTTTACGGCAATTTATTATTTGACTATTTTTCATGTTTCTTCATTTATATTTTTCTACAAAAAAATCTTAGTCCGAATTTCAAGAGTAACATATTTGTTTAAAGAGAATATTGTTTAGTTGCCGTGTAAGAAAGTTGTTTTTTGATTTTCTGTGTAGTTTGTCTCCTTATACGATAATACATAGAGGAAAATGTAAATTGAGATTAATTTGCGAACGGTTATTTTTCCGGTGATAGGATAATCAAAATATTCCTCCCTCCCAACCCAAAAAAAAAAAAAAAGATTCCATTTCAGGGGGAAGGGTTGATGATACCAATGGTATAATATTGTTTTATATAAAGTGTAATGCAGTGCGAAAATGTATTAGTGTTTTAGCCTCTGACATTCAGTATATTATACAACTTGCTAAAATGGATAGCTACGTGTCCTTTCAAGGACGGTCAGCGTGGATAGTGAACTTAATTTTAAAACGCATACTATAATGTTTATCGATCATGCGAATTTAAATGCAAATACAAATTCAAATAAGCCGAATAATATGCAATTTTATATGAATATTTAATGTTGCATAGTACAAATAATATACGTAAAACAATAATACTTGGCTTTATCTCGGAATTATTAAAAACTAACTGTAGGCGTAAGCGTCACGGACTATACTATTCTTGCCAAACCGAGGATTTTGTAATCCACGTGAATACAAACATGAAATTCTGTAAACATATATTTGTCGATTAAAATATTTAATGTCGCTGATACTATATTGCCAAATAAATAAGATACGATTTTTTAGAATTAAATTCAATTTGCTTGTTCAATCACTATTTAAAAGATACGAATATTATTGGCAGAAATANAAACAGCGCGTTTTCCGTATTTTTATTTATTAAATATTAAATAAGTATAACAAGTATATTATAAGTTGACGGTTGTAACTTGTGACGTTTGACTGTGAATGATTTTGAAAATATTCAACAAACGTATCGGGATGGTCGCAACTTGCTCCGCAGTCCAGATACTTTCTAAAATCTGCAATGAATGCGTGTTTAACACCGACGTAAGCTCCGAATTTAAACTTTTAAGGTTTCTCCCTTAGTCATTGCAAAAAAATGCAAAACATTTTTGAGTGTCCGATTGCGATTTTTCTTAATATTGATATAATAACCTCAAGTTATCCGGGTATTTTATCGGAGAAGGTTGAATATAATGTTGACTAAACGTTCGATATCATTGGGATTGGTGTTGTGTTATCGTTATGCATATCGATCAAACGATTTAATCTGATCTAAAAATCTGAATAAGTGTTTTTCATTTAAAATACCTATAAACACTAAAATTATTTAAAAAAAAAAAATACAACCAGAATTTTCTAATATTTATTATATTTAAAAAGTATATTCAAAATAAAATATAAACAAAATATCTTATAACATTTTACCTTATACAATTACTATGGTCCTTATGTCAAATACCTATGCGTGGCAACTGGAAGTAATCGACAGTGTACGTTCGTAATGATTAATGACTTGTAAAATTCTTAATTTTGCATCGGACATTTCACTAATTGAAAATTTTTTCAATGTCGTACCTATACATTTTAAAAATAAATCCGTTGCTTCATCTTCACAGTTTACCTTTGTTGTGGGTCCTATGAGAATAAAATAAAATGTATATAATACCTATATTAATGTTATTGCATTGACAGAATTAAACTGACCGAAGATAAATTTGTATTTTTCTTTCTTAAAAGCATTTCATAAAGGGAAGATAACGTTTACTATACCTACGTATGTGTTCTATAGCTATACGCAGGGTGAATGGTGATCAACATAGAGTAAGACACTCATCTCGAAAAGTAATAACAATTGAAATTTTAGCGTTGAAATTCTTAATTTCCATCAATCGGCTGATGAGATATTCCGATTTGTCGTTTTGTTTGTAGGAGTAGATTAGTGAAGTGCTATTTAAACGCCGCGTTACAAATTATGCTCTACTACCTACTCTTCCCCAATACTGACAAAACGATTATCTTAAAAGTGGAACAAAAAAAAACGAAATTATAAAAATAAATTTTCCCGCTTTTTCTACAGTTTCTTTTCGGTTTTCTTTATTTATTAAAAAATGACTAGGAAAATCAAAAAATCGACTTTCTTACTAACCAACTAAATTAAAACTATAACAAAAAAGATCTCTATAAAACAGTATCTTTTTTTTATTGGAGCAATATTTTTGGTAGAAAACATAGTATTAGCTGTTTTATCTGAATTTTGTTTCCGGTTTTTCCCGACTATTTTGCAAACTCCATTGAAAATCAAAAAATGACCACTTTAACGCGCCAAGTAGATAAAATTTCTTTTCAGAAAAATTGCTACACTTAATACATCGGAGCAGTACCGTAGCCAAAAAAAAGTCTTTCGTTACGTTAATCACAATTAGTATAAGCTCCCGAATCATTCGTCGATTCGATCGGAAAACGCGCGTCTAACCGTTTCGAAAATGTTTTGCCGACAAGATTGCGTTGGCGGAGTAAGTAATTATCGAATGTGTCGAAGTCATCGACGAAGCAAGCGATTCTGCAGCCCGTAATCAAGTAATTACACAAAAACACGAAACATTCCGAAATCAAGAGCAAAATATCATGCGTTTAACGTTTACCCGACAACCGGGGTAAGTAAAGCTATCCGAGCTGGATCAAGGGGGAGGGACTTTGGGGGCTATATCCCCAGGCCGCGAGTTGAAGGGGGTCACACGGTGTGCGTTTTTGTTGATGACCTTTTTTTTCTTTTCTTTTTTGCTTATTGGTCTTTAGCCCCGGGGGCTCCCATAACCCATAATCCCGCCCTGGATACACTTACCATCGAAACGGGGGGTGGTGGTAATTGAGTTGGTATCGGTCGTCGTATATACGGGGATGGTGACATTGCAAAACGACTCGAAATCGGGACAACAGTCCGGCGGAGAGTTACGCTTGTAACAAAACGAATCGCAATAGCACGTCGTGCGGTGTATGGGCACGGCGCAACTATCCGTTCTTCCTTCGCAGCATCGGCCCAACTTTCCGCAGTACGGACCCGCCGAGTCCCTGTCGACCGCGACCGCGGGCGGGACGCGGGCAAACGCGACCAGGACGGTGGCCAATGCCAAGACCGCAGCGGGTTTCCGGCCGCCGCCGTCGCCGTGTCCCGACATACTAATTATCACGGCTGTCAAACGGACAAGTGTCGTTTCGTCTACCGGACGGATCGCGTACGACTGTCAACGGGAACGCGTACGCTACCTATATACCGCGATTCGAAACTCTATCCAATTATCAATCGGTCGCGAATCGGTACTATAGTATTTAACTCTTGTCTATGCGCAAATATATATATTTATTTATTTATTTATTTACAGGTGGGCATGCCTGTACTGTGTCGGCCATTTGGAAAGGGAAACGGAATCGCGAGTGGTGCGAACTGTTTTGCCGAGGCATAATCATAGGCAATCCTCGGGGGGCATTATAAATATTAATAGTGATTAACATAATATCAATACGTGCCCGATTTACCAACCGCGATCAATATGTAAATGAGTTATTCGACAAGCTTGTAATTATAAAAATGACGTTGGTAACTATTTGTAATATAAGTACTATTATTATTACCATTTCGCAAAAGGAACTTAACCGAGAGGAAGTTTCCGTATGGCTTATAAGTTTAACATTGTATTGCAACATCGTTTTTTAATGAAATCAAAAACAATGATTATCGTCTATCTGTTTCTGAGCGTGATGTCATTTTTAAATGCGTTTTGTCAATAAAATAAATCCATTTGAACCAGTGGCACACGCGTTGCACGGGCCACACGGCGATTTTGGCTGTTATTCAACGTGCTATTGCTACTTACTAGCACCGTGAGCAACAATTCGATCGATCCGGAATCCGGATTACAATTTCGCAATCCGGATCTCGGATGCAGTCTATTCGTTTGTCTCAAATGGGCTATAGGTACTAAACAAGTGGAAACTACCAAGATAGTAGATATCGTCAAACGAGACACATTTCAACAGTTATGATGTTAGTGGATTTAAATTATTCAAATTTATCTGGATTCGATGCTCAGCATTACTACCTACCAATATTTTGGTACCCAACCTAACCTTACTTTACTAGAGAATAACCTATTTACCTTATCTTAATTGATTGTGAACAAAATAAATATAGAGAAGCCTTTGTATATTGATGATGTGGCAATAGTAAAGGATGTGCGAATGCTTCTTACCCGATGGAAGCTAGTGAGAATAACAAGGGTTCATCCAGGAGCAGACGGCGTGGTAAGGGTTGTTACCATCAGACTCGCTACGGGGTCAGAAATGAAACGTCCCGCAGTCAAGCTATAGGCGTACTTCTTACAGAAGATCATTGCAGTGAAGATAATCTATCATCAGAGTAAAAACCAAATAGTTTCAAAGGGAGGGGGGGAATGTTCGGGGGACTTTTAGATTAGATTAAATTTGATTGATATACATAACGATAACACAACACCAATCCCAATGATATCAAACGTTTAGTCAACATTATATTCAACCTTCTCCGATAAAATACCCGGATAACTTGAGGTTATTATATCAATATTAAGAAAAATCGCAATCGGACACTCAAAAATGTTTTGCATTTTTTTGCAATGACTAAGGGAGAAACCTTAATAGTTTAAATTCGGAGCTTACGTCGGTGTTAAACACGCATTCATTGCAGATTTTAGAAAGTATCTGGACTGCGGAGCAAGTTGCGACCATCCCGATACGTTTGTTGAATATTTTCAAAATCATTCACAGTCAAACGTCACAAGTTACAACCGTCAACTTATAATATACTTGTTATACTTATTTAATATTTAATAAATAAAAATACGGAAAACGCGCTGTTTAAGACACATATCAAATTGAATTTATTAAATTTTTATATTTCTGCCAATAATATTCGTATCTTTTGAATAGTGATTGAACAAGCAAATTGAATTTAATTCTAAAAAATCGTATCTTATTTATTTGGCAATATAGTATCAGCGACATTAAATATTTTAATCGACAAATATATGTTTACAGAATTTCATGTTTGTATTCACGTGGATTACAAAATCCTCGGTTTGGCAAGAATAGTATAGTCCGTGACGCTCACGCCTACAGTTAGTTTTTAATAATTCCGAGATAAAGCCAAGTATTATTGTTTTACGTATATTATTTGTACTATGCAACATTAAATATTCATATAAAATTGCATATTATTCGGCTTATTTGAATTTGTATTTGCATTTAAATTCGCATGATCGATAAACATTATAGTATGCGTTTTAAAATTAAGTTCACTATCCACGCTGAACGTCCTTGAAAAGACACGTAGCTATCCATGGGGAAACAACAAACGCATTTACTACTGTAAAACCTGGCGACNCCCCCCCCCCCCCACTGGAGATTACTAATAAAACTGCCTAATTTTACTCCTAAAGTTGATTGTTACAGACTATTCTTGAATTCCATAACTATTTAACAACAGCTGTATTTAATTTAAACACATAATATCATAGTAACAACTAAAGTTGTTAGATAATGGGTATACATTTTTTTTTCTATAATATTATAATTATTTTTAAGGGGTACGACAAGTCCAACTACAATCTCAAGGGCACTGATAAAGTACTGGGTATTATTTTCTGTTACACCCATTATCTGTTCTATTTTTCTGTTTAACGCCCAACACTCTAAACCAAATACCATAGTCAGTCTTGTAACCTTTTTGTAGAACTTAACTTTAAGTCTCATTAAAATTCTCTTATCACATAAAACATCTGACGCTTTTCTCCACTTTATCCTATGTTCCACATCCTCATGAAAGCTTTTTATTGTGCATAAGATCCTAGATACTAAAAAAGCTTAACCTCACCGCTTATTGTTGTTAGCTGTCTTTTTCTGTTCCTATAAAACCATATTGTTTTATTTCTTCTTATCCTTAGTCCTTTTCCTTCAAGTTCTACTCTCTATTTCTTAAGCCTATAATTAACTTATATATTAACCTATAACTAAACAACTGAACAAGTATTATTTGATTTTTGTTATAAATGTATACATCATTATATCATGATTTGTATATTATATATATATGTATCTTATTATATTTTAAAGTTATTTAAGCAAAGTTAACAAATTTAAGAATTATTACTTTTAAAGTTGGGTAAGTGTAACAACCACTTAGTTAATGTAACTTAGTTATGTAAATATATATTTCTGTGGACTAAATTTGCCCACTGCTGTAAATAAATAAATAATAATAATAATATTTAATGAGAAAATAGCACTTTGCACTTCAGACTTCAAGTGAGCACTGCTCAGAATTATTTTTAATTTGATATAATAATTACATATTATAGGTATATAAATTAAATTGCATTATGGTATGGAACAGTAAATGGTAGGACAGGATTGGAATTGTTTAGCCATTGAACCATACAGAAGCTACCTGAATAAAATTCAAATTTCCTAGTAAAAAATTAGGTAAAATTAGATTATTGTCAGAAAACAAAAAGTTGATTGCCAGTTTTGACAGATAATAAAATTATAAACTATATTTGTATAAATCACATTTAATTAGTTTTAACTTTCAATATAAATTAATTCCAAGCAAAATGTACATAATTGATTTTTAATTTTTTAAAGATTATACCTTATTTGAAAAGTGTTTTTAAATTGAATATTGACTAAAATAATTGTCTACAATTAATATTTGGTAAATTGCAAAATTTTAACATACGATTTTCAAATAAATATTAAACAAGAATTATACTGTTGAAAAAGTCACAACATAATTTAAAATCAGAAAAACTATTTCTTTACTAAGATAAACAAGCACAATATCATTACAAAAGTATAAATGGATTTCAAAATATTATGCCGATAGCTTATAATAGATTTATAAAATAATTATGATAGTTAATAGTTCAAATAACTTTAGATACTTAAATTCCAAGTTGTTTCTCATTCAATATTAGCCAATCTTTATACTTAGATAACATTATATCATCAGGTTGTACTGTTTTCCATTCGTTTACACAAAAAAGTCTGTACGAATCATTACCATACTTGCCAATTCCATACAACTCAATAGGGTATTTCCAATTTTTAGATAAAAATTCCGCTATAAATAAAATTATAATAACCAATGACAAATACAAAATTATACAGGTACACATTATTTTGTAATTCTTATTAACCTGTAAATCCTTTTATAATTTTTACTCTTGTCATTTCTAATCCTAAATGTTCTACTGAACATAGTAAATCTTGAGGATGTGCTTTCATAACGTCTTCTGGTGTTGGCCATTTAAATAAAAATGAGTGAATTTTCGGAATGGCCAGCTTTGCTGTAAATATTTGTAATATTTCAATTAAGTTATTTGCCTTGGTCATTGTTTATTTCTAGGTTATTTACCTGTGACTTTGGTTAAAAATATAGTAGCAATTAACAATTGCCAAGGGTTATGAAATAAATCCTCCTGAATAAGTGAATATGGAGATCTAGGTGGAATCCATCGGGTACTAGATGGCGTATCAAAGTAAGGACTGGTACGAAGAGTATTCTGATTTTTCATCAAATTCTTATAAATTAAACCAGGCCTTCTACAATAATTTTTTTTACGGGCATTCTTTGAACAAGGTGACAAACATTTCGTCTTTAAAGATTTAATACCAATGAGGTTATCATTGTCCATTTCTATTTACTGAAAAAACGATACCCAATCAAAAACAAAAATACAAACGCATACAGGTTACAAACAGTACGTGTTTCAAAATAAACAAACATTTATTAGCATTAAGCTGATATAGGTAGGCAGTTAAAATTGTTTACTATCACCAAATTCCTTACCTACTCCATAGCAATGTAAGTGTTGGTGTAAACGTATAGGTTTGGTAAATTCCACGTTTAACATATATCGTTGGATTTCGGACAAATGCAGAAACTTTCTGCCAGAAAGACCAGAAACGTCAGCACAGCAGAATGTCAAATACTAATAAATAAATGAGTTATAAATTAAAATACCAATCGGTGACGAAAAACGATAAAGTCCTTAGTGTACAAAATACAAATCTATGATAAAATATCACGTATAAAACGTTATCAAATTGGTATTATTTGTTATGCCCCAAAAACACGAAATCTGTGATAATCGTAGTTACCGCGTTTACGATAATCGTACGCCGAACCGATTGATACCGTCATCACGGTTTCTTTTGAAATTTTAAATTAGACGCTAACTGTTCGACGTTCGCACTTTAGTGTGGGTCATAGTCACGAAATCAAATCCTCGGCAGTCCCATTATTTTCTTAGAACTGATAAAAATATATATTAATTTTGTTCACATTTTAATGCGGCGCTGGGATTGGAATCGAAATTGCATTCTTGCTTTTAGAATTATTAATAATAGGTAAACAGAAATGTTTTGATTCTCACTGCTGCGATTGATAACAATGATACCTACATTAACAGTAATAATATAATTTTATATGGAACGGTTTAAAAACATGTGTATTTCATATTAAATTTGCCACGAGGGGAGAGGGATAAGGATAATTTTTTAGATCCGAATTAAGTATTAAGTACCTATTCCATGAGAAAAAACTTTTCCATAAAGAAAAGTCTGTAGGTGTCTAAGTTTATTGTTCAAGATTGTAAATATGGGTTCAAATTTCAAGCATATTCTATAAATTGTTTGCCTTAATTTTTCATAACTTTTTCCACATTTCTTTCTTGTATACAATTTACTTTTTTTTTTAAAAAAAAAATGTATGACTTTATATGCCATTCTGGAGAACAGATAACAATAAAAAAGTCAACATCGAATTGTGATTTTTATAATGTATTCTATTTTCTGAGTATTTTCACGTGTTCTAAATTATCTAATACAACTATATAAATTCACAAATATATAATTAAGGCTGTTGCAGGACAAAAATTTTGAGAAAGAGAGGGGGCAATACTATTTCTCAATCAACTTAATATATTCAATAATTTTTAGACAATTTTATTACAATAAAAGACAGTACACCAGGTCAAATACTATGAATATACAGTATAATGACCGGATAAAACAACATATTCACACTTCTTCACCCTCACAATCCTGTACAGCTGCTTATCGCAGCACTTGGCAGTGCTCTCATTGGTTCATGAATCTTGTTCTCAATCCGCTCATTAACAAACACAATTTCTTAAAATGCCTTTAAATCTAATTACCTAGTAAAAATAAACATATTCTATTTTTGTGACTGAATAACACATTACAAAACAAAAGGTACACAATGTTGTAAAACTTCGAATCTTATTCTATAAAATTATTTTCAGTTTGGGAGTTGATTTATATTTTTTTTTAATTTCACATTCTGTGAAAACACAAAACATAATGTTTTACTGGGTTTTTATCATACAGGGCATTAATTAAAAGTTTTAAAATCAAGTAATAAACATTCATTATTATTTCTAGTACTAGAAAAATCACAAAACCTCAAACAAAAAGTTCTTTAGGGACAAGAAAAACCAAAACGTTTATAAATGGCCTATACAAACAGGGACTCCCTGGGAAAATTATTTTATCTGTGAGGGCCAGTGCCCCCCTGGTAAGCACTTAGTATGTGTTACACTTTTGATTTTAGAAAATACTTTATATATTCTAAAGGTTTTTATGAATAGGCACATTAAAAATGATATGTATTTTAACTATAACTTAGTATACAACTTAAATACCATATGCAAAGAAGAAAATAAATCTATTTTTATTCCAAATTTGAATTTTAAAATTGAATAATTTTTAGTTTTTCATTTAGTTTGTTAATAAGAATATGATGATAATTTGTCATGTATAAGTAAATAAGTGCTTAATAGTTTTTGAAAGCATACAATGTTCAATTCTAATTATCAATAATTGATTTTAAAATGCATACATATTTTGCTTCAATTTAATTAACTGAAAAACAAAAATTGTAAAAACTAATTAAATGTAAAATGTTATATGGTACAAATAAACAATAAAATAGAAATCATAATAATGAAATTTATTGAATACAAGTTAAAGTTATAATAGGATAACAATAAAATAAAAAATATTATATTTATTAAAAATCATACCACAGCAAAAGCTACTGGAAAACATAATAAAGGGTTTGGTTAATATTTTTATCTAAAATAAAAATAAAAAAACAATAACAAAGAATTAATTTTAAATGTAAATATGAAGTACATACAGTTTCAATAATTACTTATTATTATTATTATGTGTCTTGGGCATCTTGTTTTTCTACCATTACAAAATCGTTGCCAGTGTGCGACTGCTGGCTACTTGATTCTGTATCAGTTGAAGAGGAATCTTCAGAACATCTAATTACAACATTTAGAAAATAATAATTAAGTCAATATGACAAAAAAAAAAAAATAAAAAAAAAATACTTTGAAGCACTGTCTAATTATCAAAGAAAAAAAAATAATATCCAACAAACAAGTCAGTAAAATGAATGCTATACAAATGCTCTATATGTCCTTATTATTATTTTTATTTTTACAAATCAAAAGACTTCAATAACTGGGTCACATTAACCTATAGATAAATTACATTTTTTTCATTATTACGAAAATAAACAATTTTTGAAATTAAAAATTGATATTTTTAATAAGTCCCACAATACGATTATGTTTATAATTTATTAACACATAACAAAATCAAAGAAAACAATAAGCAATTTTGTGTTAATAGTATACCATATTTACAACATTTATATACATAAAATTGTAAATATCTAACTACTAAGGAAATATATGCTGTTATCAAAATTGGCTTATAATAAATAATATTAACACAACTGTTTTTATAAAAAAAGAACAAATGCTCATTAAGTTTAATACTATACAAAATGAACATATGTGTTTAAGGATTTAACAAATGGATATTAATATTTGATGTGCAATTAAATTTACTAAATACATAATAGAAATTTCACATTTATAATCATTTTACGAACACTTCAATAATAAATCTTTTTTGACAGTGCCTTATCATATTTTTTGTTTTGTGAAATGTATGTATAAAATGATCTACTTTGGATTTTCAGATTGCCCAGGTTCTGTATCTATTAAAGTGTTGTCATGTACAGAATGTTCAGTTTCAGCAACCTTTTCATCAGTTTCAGATTCTGAAGACTTTTTTTCTTCTTCACAATCAACCAGTTTTTTATCATCTTCAGCCTCGTCATCTGATAATTTATCCTTTTTCTTCTTTACTTTTTTAGAGTTCTTTTTATAAAACACATTATACTAGAATGTAAACACAAATTGTATTAACTATACTATGTTTACCAAAAAAAAAAAAATCCATCAAATAAATTAATAATTATTATGTGTACATACTGTATAAATAGGCCAGAATGAAGCAAAGAAGCCTACATCTTCTGTTAAATTGGGGAATAGCCAGAAATGTAATTTGCCCGCTGTTAATATCCAAAGTAAACTGAAAAAAACTAAACGAAGAATGGCCAAAACAATAATGAATATAAGTAATCCTGCTGCTGCTATGCTTAAGTACTGTACACCCATTCTGTAAACAAGAAAACATATTATAAATGTTTAAAATAATAATGGTTTTTATATTTGCAAGTTTATCAAAATAATATTTTATTTCGCTAAGTAGTTGACAATATTCTATTAATACAAATTGTTTTTAACAATATAAACATACCTCACTTGTGGTGGCCACAATGGGAATAAACATATTCCAACTCCACCAAATACAATTAATGTTCCAATAACCCAATAATAAAATGGAATAGGATCATAAATCCATACGTATGCATCCAAATTGTCAACAAATATTTGCTCCATATGCATTTCCAAACGAATTTTACGACTTTTCTTTTTACGTTCAATCTATCAATAAATTCAAACAATATTATTTGAGAACCTTATTACTTTTAATAAGTGTTTATTAGGTACAATATTTGAATGCAAATCAAAGTGTTTATATTTACAAATCATAAAAAAATAGGCGTGCACTTTTATCTACATGGAGTAGGGTAGTAAATGTTTATGGCTGAATAAACATAAATTATATACACCTACCCTTATAAAAAAAAAAAAATGTAAAAAGACTAATTTATTTATATTAAACTATACATTTATATTATAAATATTAACTATATAATAGAATTGACAATTTTTTTAAGTTATAAGGAAAAAGGGTATAATTTTTTAAATATCAATGATAATAAAGTCTGAAATTTAATACAGAAAAATTATAAGCAATATAGAACAACTAAACATTTTTAAAAGCATCAACAATTTTAGTTTGGAAAAATAATCGTAAACTAACTAATACTAATATTTAGGCTAGCATAAAGCATGCAAATTATCTATATACCTTCTGTGTTGTATTTATGTTACTACTCATTAAAATCTGTAAAAATGGAAATGAAAATAGAAAAATTTTAAAACTACATTCTTAATAATATTTGATAAATATAATTGTTGATAAATATTTTTAAGAACATAGGAATTCATTTTTAATTCATTGATCCTTTTTACAGTTTAGGTTAATGATCAATTTTTGTGTTTAGAAGTATACATTTAAGTTAGTTTGTCTTAATTTTATTTTTTATCTACATCGTAATCTATTACAACAATACTAACAGAAGTTGTAGTATTGTATTATTTCAGTATATTTAAATTTTTTTTTATACAACATGAATTAAATTAAAATTTTAGTTTATTTATAATCACAAACTATTATACTAATCATTGATAATTGTATAAAATTTAGATTATAACAAAAATAACAAACTAGTATGATTGTTATTTGTTTATTATTTTAAGCTTTCATAGAAAAGAAAATGTATTTAGTGTTATTAAAATAACAAAAAGATATGAACATAATTTGCACAATGGGTGTACCACTGTTATAGATGAGAAGTTGGGAAGGTAAGATATAAAGAGGAATTTAATTGTATTATTAATAATGTAACTATTGTACTATAATAATGTAATTAATGTACGCAACAATTAATTTTTGCTGACGAAAAACAATTTCTGAGTGAAGTTATGAAAGAGTATAAAATTTACGATTTTAAAGTAATACATTTTGTAAATTTTCCAGTTTTTTTTCCATTTATTATGAAAAGAGCTGAGAAAATCAAAAAATTACCTCTTGAAAGTACCACCCCAGTCAAATTTTCTTTCAAAAAAGGTGCTATACTTGAAAATCTGAGTAAAATTGCTGGTAGAAGTTGTCCAAAAAAAAAAAAAATAATAATAATAAACATTGTAAAACCATAACATTCCTTGCTCTGCTCAGAATCTAAAAATTACAAATAATAATTTTATTTTTTAATTAGTTTTTGATTAATAATTTAGTATTCAATTTATAGAAGTATCACCAATGGATGATTTCTCTAATTTTAAAAAACTAATAACAAACATTGATACATCAATTTTATTTTAATTGATTTCTGCGCTATCTTGGCTATGTGATAAATAATACAACTAATACTACCTCATACAGTATCATTTTATATATAATATAAAGAAACAAAATTACCTTGTATATCCTCTCAAACACCTACCTACAACAGTGGCCTACCAATGAGCAGTATCAACTTTTTTGTAACTTTATAACTTTTTTTTTAACCTTTTATATAAACACATTTATTTGAAATGTATATTTAAATAGTTATATTAATTTGTTCCGATACTAAAAATGATAATAATTTTCAACTTTACTATCAAGTAGTACTGCATCTGACATTGAAAACTACTGTACTCAAAAAATTATAAAATTACAAAAACTCATCATACTGGTTGAAATGTTCAAACATTTCCAATATACGAACATTAATTCAACTTATATTTTTATATGAACATATTATATTAATATTAAAATATGCACTTCTACATTATTATTTTGAATGTGCTTCGAATAGTGGACATATCATTTTCTTGTAGTTGTGCACACATCCAATAAATATATGGTTTTACAAAAAAAGACTCTAAAACTTAATTTTAATAAAATGCTTTAAGGAAATTTAAATTAATTATTAATTTTATGAATGAAACTTTAAAATTTGACTAAATAGTTAATATTATTTTAATGGTTTTTTTTTTTATAGTAAAAATGTTATTTTTAGTATATTATATACATAGATAGAATCTTACTTCTGTGCATTTGTTCTTATCATCTTCGTTTTTATCATCCTTACTAGTTTCTTCACTCTCATCATCTTTTTTTTCTTTTTTCTTTTTTTCAGTTTTCTTCTTCTCATCTTTATCAGTGTCGTTTGATTTTTTGAATTTTTTATTTTTCATAGCTTTAAGTTCTTGATCTGAAATTGGAACTTTCTTAGCGCGGTGGAAAAATTGATGCTTCAACATTCTAAGGAAAAAAAACATGTTATGTATCATTGAATCAGAATTCAAAATAATTCTAGAATAGCTAGAAAGTAATTCCGGATCAGTTTAAATTTAAATTAAACATTTGGTAATAAAAACATATATTAAATATAAGTATCTATAATAAGTATATCAAATTATACAAAAGATATAACCAACTAAGGTAGGCCACAATTGTGGGTAGGAGGTTAATAATAAATTGGGTGATTACGAATAGAATAATAGATCATAATGATATGGATAGCTTATCCATACCTTATCAGTATTTCAAGAAGGACGGGTAGTTATTTCAAAATTGATTCATAAAGTGAGGCATTCTATATATATGGTGATGAATAATAAATTGCCTCAGTTTTCCACCTCCCCAGAAACATCATAGGAATAGCCCACCAATTTCTATATTATCTATGGATTAAATTTATATAACTGTTAATATAATGTACAACGTAACAATAATTCAGTCGTTTAAATTTGTTTGATACACCTATTTAACATTTTCATTGTTTGTTTCCATCAAATTTTATTTTATAATTCATAGGAAAAACAATACATTTCTAGTAATGCTCAGAATCTAAAACTAAATTAATTTTATTTTGTGAAATGTTTCATTTTAAGTAGGTATGTGCCTACTATTAATAATATGAACAGTGATAAACAAATGTCTTACAAGTCCAAAAACAATTCAATTTCCTGCCGTGTAGTAAATAACTTCTCAGTGGTGGCCCATTTGGATTCCAAAAGACCGTCAACCGCTTTGCTACCTGTATCAGAAAAAAAAAAAATACCTAAATTAGATAACCAAGGACCTTTATATTTCATTATAAAGCAACAGCAACATAATATCAAGTTGTTATTTCTAGTGACCTGTAAAGTACTCGACATTGTGTCCAGCGAATTTGGTTTTTTTTTGTGGAATGTTCTTAAGCAACCAAGCAGCTATATTGTACTCAGCCTTGCTGGGCTTTTCGGTGGGCTCCGGATCCAAGCTGAATTCCTGTAAACAACAGCACAAAAGCAAGAATAAAGAATTCATATCATATATCTTCAGTCAGACATGATATTAACAAGACCGAGGGCAATGCAATTGCAAGCGGTCCAGTACAGTGACAGTGACCGTAGTAGAAAAAACACTCACCTCGTCACGTCGACGTTTTCCTTTTCTTTTCTCAGCCATTTTTCAGCGGGAAAGTATCAGTTAACCGGAAAATCGATCGCACATCCACAACCGGAGCAGCAGTTGCCACTGTCGCCAAAAAAATTAGAAAACAATATTAATTATTACAACAGCACCGGTGGTACAGTACTCACGAATTCAAAGTTACGACGGACCAACAATATTATCACGAATAACGTCGAATGCGATAGGAAACACAAAACAAACCGTGGCCGTGGCCGTCGTCGGAAATGACTGCGTTACTGCGTAAGTACCGTTGATTGACCGAGTTTTTGTTGTGCTCAAGCCGTGGCCACCTCAGATCACTACACCGTGATACTGAATGTGCGATACAGTGCGTACACAGGTGTAGACCGAAACATTCCTGTAGTATCCGTTGCTGCGCAGTTATCCGTGGTCGCGGTAAATAACCCGAATGACGTAAATTTACTACGCGCAATATTTAAAATTTTGCGTAGGACGTTCGAGGTAACCCCATCGCGCCGGCGGGAGAGGGCGGACTCGGGGCCGCTGAGAAAAATCACGGGCCCCGAGTACAATTTTATCCCTCTTAATATTAACAATTAAACTTACCACTAACACCCAACGTCGACCTTTGAAATGTGTGTGAAAAAAAGAAGACGTCCTAGGATAATGGGGTCGGGTGCAGCCATTGTTTTAGGTAATTTAATGTATATCAGTAAGCAACGATAAACCATTACTGACGAAAAACCTATTCTGAGCGCAGTTCAGTTGATATTGATGCTTCGTCAACAATATATATGTCCATATTATGGTCAAATAATTAAATGGGCATTATATATTTTCTTTAATATTGTACCGATCTCTCTGTTTTTTTTCCCCGGTTTTCACATTTGCTAGGAAAACTCTCGAAAAACGACCTCTCTATAGTACCTCCCCAGAACGATTTCCTTTTAGGAAAAGCGCTATCGTTGTAAATCGGAACAAAATTGCTGGGAGAAAAGTTGTCTACAGAAAAAAAAAATATCGTAATATTTTATACTCGTGTATTTTGCATATTTTCCCGTTTCCCATTAATTGGGAAAATCAAAAAAAGAACTCCCCAAATTACCATGGAGATAAAATTTTCTTTTAGAAAATAAGGTACACTTGATACATCGGAGCAAGATTGTTGATAGAAAAGTTTGCACAACAAATCTAGGGGTATTTTGCGTTTAAAATAGTCCAAGCAAGCGATGGCTTGGGTCTCTAGGTATAACCAAAATGCATTTGTATTTCCCTAATTTAGAGGTTAAAGGGAAAAAAATGCAAACAATTTTTTCAAAACATGGGTACAAACTCGCGAACCCTAGAATGAAAATAGGTATATATAACCATTCAGCTACGACAAACATACTTTAGAGTGGACAATATTTAGTTATTTAACATAACGTATATATATTCACATAATATCAGTACCTCAAAAAGCTATAATTTCGAAACTTAGTCAGTCTGCTCAATTCTGACTTTACCATCGTTCTCAAATCGACAATATACACGTCATTAAGAAAAAAAAAAAAAAAAATATAGAAAACTGAAAATTACATTTGTTCCCCATAGTTTTTTACTCGACGATTTTGGTCAAAATTTGATATTAAAATTCCTTTATAAAAAAAAAAATATTACATTAAACTCAAATTTTGTTTTTTTGACCACAAAATAATATTGTTAATGAATCTCCTGTTAAATTTTCAAGCATTTCTGTAAAGTCTAACAATTTTACCACAGAGTACCTTTCAAATAAAAATTACGTACTAAACTCGCAAAATTAAAATTTTTAGAAATAGCTTAAAAATGGCTTATATTTTTTAAAATTTTTACAAAGTTTAGAAAAGGTAAATATAAATTTTCTGTCCAAATTTCAAGTCTACGAACATTTTTAACTTAATTACAATTAAATAAAAGCATTATTTTTGTAAATTTCCCGTTTTTCTTATGTTTTATCTTAGTTTGTCCCAAATATTAGGAAAACCGCTTAGAAAATCAAAAAATGACAGTCTAAGAGTACCATCTAGACAACATTCCCTTTCGGAAATGGTGCTGTGCGTGTACATCTAAGAAAGATTTGTGGTAGAATTTTTGTATAAAAGAAAAAAATAAATATTTTAATAAAAGCAATACATTCTTCGCTACACTCAGAATCTAAAAAGATTTAATAAAAGTTGATAAGCCCAATATACTCATATAAAAATACTAATCATACTATTATTAACCAGTGTCGATTTTACGGGGTAGGGATCTAAAGGATCTGGACCTCCCTAGATTCTGAGTTTAGACTACGAAAAGTAGATTTCCGGTTATAATTTTTAAATTTAACATAAATTTTGTTGTTGATTAAATCATAGATCAACACTATCGAGCAACACTGAAATTAAGAGGTTAGCTGAGAATAGGTCGGAGTGGAGAGTGCGCGTCCAACTGCAAAACCAACCATAAGGGTTGAATACAAGAAGAAAACATACGTAGTATGTACATTCGTGTGGATAAGTAAAAAACGAATAGCTTTATGCAAGTTAATTAAAATAAATTAATATATATTGGGCAATTATTTTTTGTATGTTAAATATATTGCAAGTTAATATTAAAGGACCCCTTCCAAGAGAAAAGTTCAAAAACCACCGCTGTTACACATATTATAGTACATGGTATAAATAAGTGGGTATTTTAATTGTGAATATAATATTTAAAATAAAATATTATGAAATCAAATTAGGTACAAATAGTGTTTATATTAATGTGAAAATCAGGTAAAATTTTAATGTAGGTTACAGCGATACCTATAGGTAGATGGTAAACGTAGGTACGATTTTAAATCAACACTCAATATACCAAACCAGTGTTTCCCAAAATGGATAATATCGCTCCCTTGAGATCACCAGACCTATCTAGGGGGGGCAATAGAAGTTAAAAAGTTAAAAACTTAACTGGCGGATTGCAAAACCGGGCGGCAACTATACAAATTTTTTTTCGATAACATTACGTAGTACAAATGATCGTATACGTGTATTTTGTATTTCCGGAATAATCGTTTGTCCGTCTGTCGAATCCGGTCGTTATCGTGATAACATTAAATGTAAATTACAATTTTAATTAAATGTATATATACCTATAAAAATAAATTATAACATTTACAATATTTTTGGAGTGAACCACATTATCTGAATTGTCTTGGTATTTAGTACACTCGTGTTTGTTCTTTATCGGTTTTATAATAATACTGTTCTATTTAATTGTATTTACGTGTTTTCTACACCATGGTCGAAACGAAGAAAAAAAAAAAAAAAAACGTAAACAGTATAATATTTGAAATACGGTTTCATTCAATATTACATTACTAATGTCCCTCATTTGCCAAAAAGTTTTTACAAATGCAGCTATGGAACCGTTAAGAATGCAAAGTTTATGCTAACAAAACAAATATGGATTTGTTTTTTCTGGCAAAACACCAGATGCATCCATCTCATTTGGATACATTTTTTTTTTTTATTATATACTTGTACAATATAATAATAAAACAGATATTTATAGTTTATAAACAATAAATTAATTTTTCATTGCATACTTTTGTACTAATGCATTTTTCTTTAAAGTGGGCGTCTGTCAGATTTCTTTTTATTCTCAAGTGGTCGGTAAAGTTTAAAAATTTCGGAACCACTGAACTAAACATAAAGACCGCTTGCGTCATTTGAGAGTTTGTATTATTTTAATACACTTACCTACATCTTACTCAAACACTATGTCACCATTATGTTTTTAAAAATAAGTAAAAATTATATTGCGTATTATGATAATTCTTACGCGTTATTAGGTAATAATAATAATAATAACTATAGTTATAATTACAGAATTTAGAATCCTTACAAGGATATTAAATTTAGAAATTGTGTTTTATTGCATTTAATCCTGTATACCTGTAAGCAACGATAAACCATTGCTTACAATAAAGGTGAGTGGAGTGAGTGGAATACAATTAATAGCAATGCTTTGTCAACAATATATATGCCATAGGTAATATAGTAAAATTATTAAATAAGCTCTATATATTTTTTTTATTAATATTTTTTTAATGTTGCACCCGATCTTCCAAGTTTTTCCCTTATTTTATCCGGGTTTTTCATATTTGCTGGGAAAACTCTTGGGAAAATCAAAAAAAAAAGACCTCTCTAAAGTACCTCCTTAGTAAAACTTTCTTTTAGAAACATTGCTTTCATTAAAAGTTGTTGCAAAATTGCTGGTAGAAAAGTTGTGCACAGAAAAAAAGAAGGCCGTAAAATATTTTAACTAATACTTACATTCCTTAATTTTGTTATTGTTTATAATTGTACCATTTCAATATTTATCAACAAGTTACCTGTAACAACTGCACCTTTTGTAGAGTGGACAAAGTAGCTAATGTTTTTTTTTTTGGATCATTTATTTTCCAGTAGCTATTACACTAAGTGATATTTTCTGTTCCTCCTTTTGTGCGTTTTTATTTTTGGCTGATATACAGAGCATCAGATTGTCGCCATTCACAATAACGGATGGAATAACAATTTTTTTAGTTTTTAATCATTAGTAAATGTGTTTGAAATAAAAGGTTTTCAATATTATACTCTTTCAAGCATATCTAAAGTATAATGCCGTCTTGCTAAACAGTTCAGAACTGGTGACTTTTTTTTATAAGATATAAATAAATTTGAATTCTTAACTAAAATTCTCATTTTATTTAATATTTTTCTTTTAATACTAGGTAGTAGTTACTTTTAAGACTCAAATACGGCTAATTGAAGTAGGTATATTTTTACATGTTCTTTAGCGACTTATGGCGGTTTTGCTTATGAGGATATAATTACTTAATAAAAATAGTATGTTTATTTCACTTACAAAATGTACCATTCCCCAAAGTAAATTATAAACTAACCATTAAAACAATTATTTTTATAAATGTTAGATACTTTTCAAATGTAATTTTTTTTTAACGGATGTCACCAGCCAAGATTGACCTGATAAGTTATCTTGCAATAATTGAATTCAACTTAATGCTTACACCACTTTTCAAACATAATTCAATAATTAGTAATAAGTACCAAAAACTAGATAACTAATAATAGGTACTCTTTCAGGCTATGGTTTTACTTACATAGGTATTTATTTATTTTATATATATTTGTATTCATTAATAGTATTATATATAAAGGTAATACATTTATATATTTTTGTTTTTATACATAAAATCGTTTCTTATTTTTGTTAAAAAATGAGTGTTTAGATTTTGGTTAAATTTATTTTTATCACACAGGACGAAACAAGAAAAGTTCAATACAGATAATAAAATACCAAATGATAATAATTACTTAAGGCTAAACGACAATACACCTACTGCACCAATTTTTATTAGTATTTAATATTATAATATCAAATTCCGAAAAATCTATGATTAATACTTACATCAAAATTGATAATAGATGGATTTTTAAGATATCATTATTTGCAAAAAAAGATGTTGTTCCTCAGTCCCAATAGAAACAACTAGTGAGGAAATATTAATTGAACTGGTGAATGTACTTACTACCTCACTATGATAGTTTATTTTACAAAACGTTGAATATTCAATGTATTATAGGAGGTTACCAGTTGTACACCAATCACCTATAAATAAATTTAAAAAAAAAAATAATGAAAATATACAATTTTTTTTTAAAACTAGGATGCTAAACCGTGTTCTTTCTCTACCCTGTTATTTTAATTTTTAATGGATTTTTCTCACCTTTAATTAAATTAGAATTTGGATAGTTTTTTGATCTTCGGTGGGTATTCTAGCTTTAGTTTCTGTTTTTAATTCTGATACCTTTTCAGTGAATATTTCTACAGGATCTATTGTACTAGAAGAAGTTACATGATCCTTCATTTTCTGTAAACATGTATTCGTTGCTTATCGGGTAGATGATTATGGGGATTTTTTTCTACAGGATTGTTGATTGATTGAATTCACTTTCATACAACGCCATGTTATTTGATTGGCTATTGGCTAATATTTGTATATTGAGCAAATTCAGACGCCTACAATTATTTTTACATTCGGTGAAAAAATAAAAAATAAAATCGAACAACGATACACTTGAACAGCTAATTTTATGTATTTACTTTTTTTTTTGTCCTAGATTCATACTCGGATGATGATTGATTGGATGGGTCACCTGTACAATATGTGCTGTCTCTGTGGTACAAACATGTGCCGCGGGTAATCAATTTGCGTTCAGTAGGGACGACATTGTGCTGCGTATTAGTTTTGTTATGGGAATATTGCAACGAATCGAACAGTATTCGCAAACCGAACGGCGGCAAACATTATATGCGCAGCGACGGGTGTTTTTTTTTTTATTTTTACTTTTCGACATTTTAATTTTTAAGCGAGACACGAATCGGTATGTAAAGTATCGCAATTTGAAAACTCTTGCGGTCGGCTTAAAAATTAAAACACCCAACGAAAAACGACCACGCACGGGTCACCGGCTCTTAGTTTCTCGCCATCAAGTTGCGTAATACGCATTAGAGTGCCGAGTGCAATCAGCAGCGCAATGAACGTACCTGCCGAACGTGAATTCACTAATCGCGTCGCATGCTCGCGAGACGGAGACGGCGTATTATGCGGGTTTCGCGTTAACTTTGAGTATAAAATTTAAATTTAAAAGCATACTCACGCCTATGCCAACACCTATTGAACGTGCCGTTACTTTTCCACTGCGGTTTTCGCGCCCGAAGAGCCTTTGCACTGACGCTCGGACAATTTATCAAACGTGAAATGCATGAATGCCGAGGTTCGGTTCGGCGGCCCGTTGCGAACGTTATAGCGACTGCACCAGATGGGTGGTACGCAGGCCGGAACAGGTACGCGCCGGCCGACACAATCAAAAACCCGCGGAATGAAAAATAAACCGAACGAACACTGCTCCGGTGTAGGTTATGAAGCACCGATATCGTGCGGCGTAACAGGCGACGGCGTTGGGCGGTTCATTCGCAACGCCGCGGGTCACGAGCGGAAGACCGGTCACCCATGATGTCAGCCGCAAACCTGAAACAATAACGCGTCAAAACGTTTCGCCACTTGTTTTATTTTTCACGCCACTGTTCGATAATCATTAATGATTATTTCGTTGATCGCCGACACCATCAAAACGTCGTCGCCCGTCCAAACTGTACTGTAAATACTGTAAACAAACTATAATATGTGGAAATAACCGTAACACTCGCGACGCGATAAATTTCTATTTTTACTGCGGTAACTGCCCACATTTTGTCGATATCTGCCGGCACTTGTACAGATTCAACATTGTAACCTACGCCTACAGACAACAATAATAATTTCGAATTTACACCCGACCGAACTCAACGAACCAATATTATTATCTATGAAACTTTCATTCGGGCATACACATACAGAGAGGTCCGAGACGGTGCGGAATTACGATTTTAAGACGGAGACGGCGCTCGCGGATGTGACGTTCCACGTCCTCGCAATCGTCCTCTTCACAGTAATGATGAACCCGATACTCGCGTGTAGATGCTCGACGTAGTGTGCGCCATACAACCGTGGTGATCGTCGAGTCGCCGACAGCGTACTACGCGTACTACTAAAACGTTGAGAACCACCGATCCAGACGGAACAAATGTTCCGTAAATATCCCGAGGACTAGGGGTTAATGCGTGGCCGGTCTGAACGGATCAAGAGAGATGGGCCGATATAAAGCGTACCGCGAGAGAGAACAAATTTACACTCCGACGACGGTCAATCAAAACACTTGTTATCTCATTTTTTATCTCGAGCGTTTCTCTCTGTTATCGAAATGAAACTTCCACCCGTCGGAACAAGTGTTCGTGCTGAATGTGCCGTCTAGATGTGTAAGTCCACGTTTATGCAGTACGTCGTTCGATTTTAAAACCGTGAATTTATTTTCGCTCGCACTCGCACAACCGGCTGGCCGAGATTTTTCTCGGTAGTTCGTCACCGGCCCGGTTCGACTGTTATCACGCGGATTTCACTTCTTTCCCCCCCCCATACTAAAACCGTAGTAGACCACGGTAAACCCGGGCGATTTATCATTCGCCGCTATACAGATAAAACGCTTTCGCCCCGTGAAACCCGGAGTAACTCACTGTACCCGTCCCTCCTGAAACCCCGACGAGGCACGCACAGCCCGTCCTCGTCTTTGTTACCAACGGGGAACCGGGCGCACCGTGCATCATGACCGCCTAGCACACGCGGAACGCGTCCATTGGTGGCGACCACACCGGAAACCTATTACCACCACGTTACCGCGGCGCACTTACGAAACATCTCCGAAGACCGTCCACGAAGACCCGTGGTTCCGCGCGCCGCGCTCGGTTCAGTGTCCGCTTGGCTTCGGTCGCCATTGTGTCGCGCGCGTTCCGCGTCCGCGTATAGAATTGTCGCCGCGCAATACGCGAGTTTTCCATCGTGTCGTGTCGGGGCTGAAACATGAAACTTTCATTCGGACATGTACGTACGGGGAGGTCCGAGACGGTCCGAAATTGCGATTTTAAGACGGCGCGCGCGGACACGACGTTCCGCCCCGTCGCAACCGTCCTCTTGACAGCAATGACGATAATGATACCCGCGTGTAGCGCTCGGCGTAGTGCGCGCCATACGCCCGTCGTGGTGATCGTCGAGACGGCGACGGCGTACCGTCCAATACAATCGCGAACGGACGTGTACCGATTTTGGACCGTCAATTATAAATACGATTAACCGCGTTTCGTTCGTCAGTCGATTAAAATGGAAACACCGCGTCGCCTCGGGCCCGGGCACGAACGGGTCCCTCCTTGTCACGCCACCGTGTCGCGGGCTCGTGGTAAAACGGCGCGGTGTCCGTCGCGACGCAACGCCGGGAACCAGGCGGCGTGTTTCGTGTCGATTACGAGGAGCGTGCGGACCGCAGGCCGTTGGCGATTGTGGCCGGCTAGAGGTGAGTACCCGCACGGGATATTTTTACATTTTAACTGAAACGGTCGCGTGTTGGCCGTTATCTTTTACCGTGGCACGCACACGGTACCAAACCGAAACGGTTTCCCTTTTTGTATGCACGCTTCATCTGGAGGAGAGCGTGTGCGCCCGATTATCGCGCATCCTTTTCGACCGTACCTCACCTCTCGATAAAACGACGTGTCTCAGTCATACTTCTCTCGATTCCTTGAACGTTCCCACCGATCTCTCTTCTAATCCTGAAAACCGATTCTAAATTGGATGTTACTGTTATTATTTCATTTATTCTGGAGGCCCCTCTCCTGTTCGCGGGGCAAGTGCAAAATCGAATCGTTTTTTCTATTAGTATTATCTATATATATATATATACATAATGATATATGGGCCGAGTAATTAATAAAGATAAAAATAAGCTTAAATTTGATTTTTGTATCATTGAAATATCTCGATTCATTTAGAATTGACGGAGAATTATTTAAATTCAATCACTTACTCATATTTTAAACAGATCAATTAATTAAGTACATAATACGAACAAGATAATTTTCATCAATGACATCAATGTTACACTAACCCCGTGTTATGATTTTATTCTTGTTCCGATGTGTATTTTAACCGGTGAATGTGTAAAATCGAAAAAAACAAAGTAGAAATATGGTAAATATGATAAACTGACATGTGAATCTTAAAGTAAACATAATAATATAAAGTATCAAGGATCTTTTCGTGAGTACAAAATTCAGCCTTTATATGTAAAAAAAAAAAAAATTGAAAAAACGTTCTTTTGAAAAATACCACGTGGTCGTGTGAAAAAATATATTTTCTGAAAACGTCATGATAAACGGTAGTACAGTGCTGCAAATTATGTTGAAATATCTAATGCAACAATCGCTTTAAAAATGTCTAGTTTTAATATCAACAGATTGAAATATATTGATCTTGATAAATTTTACACCGGGTTGCCCGTTTATCTACTTCTCCACTTAACCTTACAAAAAAAAATAAAAAAAATATCGATAGCCGACTGCTATAGTATATACGTATAAAATAATGTCGCTAAAAAATAGACGCCAATCTTTATTTAAGAGGTTAATGTTCACAAATTAAACTGATATGGTAAGTGATAAGATACTCTTTTGGAACTTTACGTACAGTGTACAGTGTACATAATATTTAACCCTATATACGTGGGATATTATAACATCGTTTCTTATCAATACTATCGGTATTATAAAACATAAAAATTCACCTCTTAGATAAGGATGGCGGCCATTTCGTCGATGACAATAATACAAAAGTCGGCTATCTAATTGTTTTATATATCCGTGGTTCTTACATTTCGTCGTGCACTTCTCATCAGACTGTTATCAGTGATAATTTGGATGCAAATAATTTAATTTTGTACAATTAAAAACGCATATGATATATTTTCGAACACTCGTATTATATTAAAATACGAGTATTTACATGCTGAAACGCAGACTTTGTAGTGTATTATGTTTCGCCAATATTACATAATTCAGTCTATAAAATAATATTATAATGGATATCAAATCGCAGCATAATTTTTCATAGTACACCGGTATGATTCTACGCAGTAAGATATTGATTCACTACTATTGAATATAATAATTTACGAATAAACTATTTGTGCTATTAATAGAATTGTTATCGTTATAGTAATCTACGAATATTATCGATGTTGCTGTGTTTAAAGACGATAAATGTTAGTCGCGTTATTATTCCAGTCGTATCTGCTAAAATGTAATTTTTATTTATTCAGTTTTGATAGTACTGCTACAAAGCATTCAGCAATTTTGGCTTTTTTACAATGCTTACGTTGGCCGCGAAAAATGTAGGCTTAAAAAAGCGGGTCGCGAGTCCAAAAAGGTTGATGACCACTGGTTTAGACCATAGACACAAAAACCGAGCTGATGTGTCTATGGTTGGGACCTCGCTTCCACACCGTGCGATTCGACGGCGGTGGTGCCGAGCGTAATACGGTTTAGAAACGACCAACGCCTAAAAATCGCGATGCGCCGAACCGGAGCGTTGTTGAAAAAAAAAATCACGTGACTGAAATGACAGGCCTGTCGCGCCATCTACGATATTTAATAATATTTAAAACTCGTACCGCGGCTATGGGTGTAATGCCGACCATTATGACATTGAACACGGATCGAAACAGCAACAATAGTATTTGATTTATTTCTTGTAAAATGGCCAATTGTTGTGTGAAACATCAACATAAAGTTTCAAAAACCACTTTTTGAGTCCCCAAAAACGATTATGAAAAAAAAAAATAAACGGGAAAATGCGTTAAAAAAGAGTTATGGGGTATGTGCTTCTACATAGTCAAATTGGGAGTCTGGTGAAGATGAAAATAAATACAGAGTATGAGTGTATTATTTCAGCGCACCTATACTATTACCATTTTTCAATAAATGATAAATTGCTATTAAGATATGTCTTAAAGTTCCTAAACTTTTGGATGGAGCAATTCGATCAGTGCGAATGATGAAAACCGCAGTAAAAAACTAGTTAGGTACTACCTTTTAATAATCATTAATTAATAAATAAAAATACTCGAGTGAGAACTGTGAACCGGAATATTTATTTATTGCATACCACGAACATAAACATTATTGTATTACTAAATGGTAAATAACAATTACCATTTACTATATTTTACTTCCGTAACCCGGTAGGTACTCGGGCAATAATATTATGTTTGTATTAATGCAGTCATACTATTTATCACCTAGAGAGCGCCGTATGCCGGCGTGAAAGCCAATTTACGTTTTGAGCTTCGCGTTATCACGGTTCGTTCCGCGACCGTAATATTATCCTTAGCCGTGGTGTGGAGCTCCATCGGTATGCACGAAACGGTACCTCTTTTTCGTGAGATAGACTA